GGCTTGACGCAGGCTGATCATTTGTTTCGAGAAGAACAAGAGGAAGACGCAGATCCTGTCATGTGGAAATGACCATAGGAGGACAGTGGAGAATGCTGAGAAGAATCCGAAACCCAAGGTCGCAAACGGCCATCGGGTTCCAATCTCGCATAGTGCTTCGTGTTGATGTCGGCATCCCCAAGGCCTCATCAAAATGCCAAATGAAGCTAGGCGCAGGGTCTCCCTCCGCTGACAAGGCGCTGTAAATTCAGCGCCCACAAAGGCCCTTGGGCGGCCCTGTCCCCACCACCGCCTCCAGCGCTCTCCTGGGCCGTGCGCAACGCTTCCTGTGGAGGCCGGGGGTGTCGTTCAAACACTGACCTCTGCCGGGATGACCACACCCCTGACGCCGACCCCTAGAGACACTCCCATCGCCCCGCTGAATTAAGCTCAGGTACCGGTACGTGAAGAAGTCCGGCGGGGAAGCGGCGGCCACAAGCGGAAGGAAGCAGGTCCCTCCTTCTTACCCCTGCGCCGACAAATCACCTTCCACAATTCACAGCAAATGACAGTCGAGCGGATCCATACTGTCCCCCTTTGTGACGTCACTCGACGTCATGAGCGTTCTTATCGACGACTCGGCTGTGCCCTCGGCTGGCGGCCACGGCCAACGCAGACAAGGTCAAGGAGGGATGGAGCGACAATTCGCTCATTCGACATCTATCACGGTGGCTGCGAGTATCACTTGTTGCATCGGTCCAAGACGTCGTCTTCTTTCAGCGCGCATGTGCGGAGAGTGATGTCGAGGTGCGTGGCTCAATGCGTGGTGGCAACCCAATCAGGCGGGTAAGAATGATTGATTTTGAGAAGGGTAAGATCGACATTCCTAGTCACACTTGCCTAAGGTACCTCATGCATACCTTCCTGAAGCCCCATGTTGTGAATCGGACTGGCAAGATCGTTTTCCCATTTCGTTCATACGCGATTGACTTGGGGAGGTAGGTACTCAACTGGACCAAAGTACCATCGTCAGCCTCGCCTGCTCTGCTCGCCAGGACCAGCCAGGTAAGAGAGCCTGGGCAACAATAGCGACACCCACCTCTTCGTCGCCCGCCTCGGTGGCAAAGACAACACAGCGCAACCCACCCCCGACCCCCCGATACATCCAGGTTTGGCAAGGTCCAGGATGAGCCAGGACCCTGAAGATCCCATCGAATCACCACAACCAGTGGCTTGCCAAGTGCTTGCTTGGTGTACCCATCGCGAAAAGCATGGTGAGCTCACCACACCACACAACATCAACATCCCTGGTTGACCTTGACAAAAACACCGCGCCTGGGATCTTTGCAGCACTGCTAGTATGCCTGTGTCCTTACCTAGCCGCCAAACCGTTCTTTGTCTGGTAATGGCACGTCACGTCCTATACGTGGCACAGCCTACAGCCTCCCCAGCGCCCTCGATGCACTCAGAGGGTAGTCAACTGGAGGACGCGCAATTCATTAGCCACCATCTGTTTGAGAAATTGACACATCCTCAGTACAATGGTCACGCCCTGCTGTACCGTCGCGGCTGCTGGCCCACCAGGACCCATTATTTCTGGCCCCTGCAGCGTCATATCTCTGCCGCAGTCATACTGGCCATGAGCCGTGTCCGTCTACCTTGTGCTCTCACGTCAAGGGGCAGCCAGAGTGGCCTTCCATGGCCATCGAGGCCGCCTGACCGCTTCGTGTCAGACAGTCTACCATCGTCGCAATACCATCACCTGGCCACCATGCAGCACACCTACCAGCTGCCTTTGGGGGCTGGCGCAAGGGTCGTACATACGCCTTTCGTTCCTTGCGCTTTCGCTCGAAGGTCGTGCTCGCTTCGAATGCCTCTTGCCCGCCGGCCTGGCAACCCATCAATTGGTGGGGCACCATTGGGAGGGCACAAAAGCGAGCATAGCACAGCGGACTCGATCGGAGACACACATGCGTTGTCCCCAAAACCGCATCCGGTACTGCCCCCACTACTGCAGAGAAAACAGTCGCCTAGTAGCAAGTGAGATGCCTGAGGGTTTTGAACGACAAGGCTGCAAGCCAGGGGGCCTTTCAGCTTGGGCCTGTCTCGCGGCTTCTTCCTTCAATGCTGTTCATCGACCAACATGCCATGCCGTCACGTGTTGGTATGGCGACTGGACATACCCATGGAGGACGAACAGAGTGCTACATCCAATCACCAGTAGCACAATGTGCTCATCTAGCCTTTCAGGCTCCTCGGCCCCCCTATTCGAAAGCTTGATCGAACTTGACATGGTCCCACACGCCAGCTCCCGGCCCACCGCGCCTCATCCCTCCGCTTGCCCCTCTGCCCGGGTCCGGCAAAGATCGCCGGCCTCCACGGACGGCGTCGGTTGCTGACTGGCTCTGGTCCCCTTGCCGCCATCCGCCCTCCGCACGCCCCGGAACGCCCGTCAGGCTTGATACCATTTTGCTGCCCCCCTCCTCCAAGGCTGGTGAAACAGGGCCGCCCACTTTTGACTTACGCAGCCTGCATATGCCAGATGCAAGCAAGGTAGCCAGAGCCCGGGGTTCATCGATCCCATTGTCCATTGGAGTAGGTCCACCTCACTAATTCGCTGTCGCCGAACCGGATTCCGAAGTCCACCTCTCCATGTACCGATCCCTGATAGAGGAGTGAGTTCATCGTTCTTCTATGCGATAGCGCCAGCCCGGCAACATTCCAAGCCTTGTCGGAGGGAGCCCATCATTTTCTACCGTGCCGTGGCCCTGATGGCCCCTGGTTCCGTGATCCAATGGAGACTGGAGGGGTGCGTGAAGGACGACGACCATCGGCCATGCTCACGAGCTCCCCAAAAGCTCACATGGTCTTGCTGATCTTGCCCGTTTCACAGCGTCGCAACGCGCTGAACTCCACTCGTTCAAATAGGGTTATGCCTTAGCTCGGCGGGATTGTCAGCCACTTGACTTATTGTCAATCGAGCGATTGACCTTCGGCGTCCACTTTTGTGAACCATTCGACGGCAGAGTTGGGTCGCAATTCTGAGCGTTTGACCGTCAGCCCCATCCAGCTCCCGGATGGCGGGTGCCCTCTACGAAGCATCAAAGCCACCTCCCTACTCCAGCTAGCCCTGATCACGAGCATGTCGCCTTGCACGAACCAGCCGTTGGCGCTGTATCGAGTACCGAGGTCTCTCCACCATCGCGGTTGCCAATCCATTAATTGCAAAGCATGGTAGGGGCACAGCTGTCGGTGTCCGATCATCGTCCTTGAAACCACGGGTCAGCCATGTGCGAAGACGCCGATCTCGTCATGGAGGGAACGAGCTGAGTGGACAAACTTGCGCAACAGCCTCATCCTCTGAACAGGGCCATCCACCAAGTCTTCCCCGCCTGCTCCACCAACCCGTCAATCTTTTCCCTCTTGCACGACACGTCCCATCCACGCCCTCGGGCGAAGCGTCCGGGCACGTTCAAATGATCGTCTACTCTCTTTGCCTGTTTTCGCCCAAACTTGGGGTAAGCTGCTTGACGCCTCGATTGGATCTTGCTCCGTTCCTCGGCCGGCAAGATTATTGGGCCACTTCTGCAACTAGGTTGTCCGCGTGCCTGCTTGCCTGCACTCTTGGGAGGGGAAGGAGGGAATCAATCAATCAATCATTATCGATCACAGGGGGGGGGGAGGTGCTGCAAGTGCTGTCGGTGTGACCCGGGGCACGTACTCTTTCTCTCTCTCTTTCTATCTGAAGCGCAACTAATGCTGCGGCATGGTTCCCACCAGCCGCACGTCACAGCTCGGTTAGTGATTGCAGCCAAACAGGAGCCGCTCGATTTGGCGACAAAGCAGATCTTCCATATGACAAAACACGGCGAATCTCGATGTGAGAATCGAAAACCCCATAAGGCGGCCTACCGGCTCGTACATGCATTATCACACGAGGCGTGCTAACTCTGTACCTCGATTCGATCACCAAGGGACTCGGGAAAATTTGAAAAGTGTAATAGGGACAGCGGGTATTATCATCATGTATCAGCTAATGGTACATCGTCGCAATCGATGGCGAGAAAAACATGTGCAGTAAAAATGAGCAAAAGACCAGATCATCCAATAGCCTGTAGCTCTCTAATCGCCCCATGATTTTTCCCCGTCATAGTAGCGACAGTAGGGAGCTCGCCAATTGTGGAGCGCAGAAGACCGCCCTCGCTCGAAAGAAAAAAACACAGTGTAAACGTGAACAACCAGTCAAGGCTTGTCCGCGTAGGAAAATTCCACCTTAACGCCGTGATGAGGGTATCGCCAGGTTCTCTCCAAACCGATCAGAGGGCAAAGGAAAACCAAAAGGGGAAAAGACTCTATTTCCGCCATTGGTCCACCCAATCCGCCTTTGTCAGTCCGACGGACGATGAGGCAAAGGTGGTTCGAGACAGGTGGATCGCCCACGGGAGGACCGCCGTGGCTTGAAGGACTCGTGGCCCAAGGGGGAGAACGATCGACAGCCAGCTTGGGGTACTGTCAACGTAGCCTCCCACTGTCCCACCCTTCCTAATCCCTCCTCTTCCAAGGGGGGAGGGTTGTCTCCTCCTCTGGGGTGACAACTTCCCCCTCTCTCATTCACCTAATTGGAGTGGGACGTGCTGTGTACAACCTCGAAAGGAGCCCGACAGTCCCATCTACTGTCGGGTTGCGTGCATATAGAACAAATATTAAGACCCCGTCCACTCCATTGCCTGTTATTCCGAAAAGCGACTTTTGTCTTCGTGATTTTGTAGGCGCCAAATATGGATGGGAAAGCGGGAACGAAGGTAGAGAAACGTATTGTAAACAGAGAGCGGTGACCAGTGATCGCGCACGCGACTGGCGCGTTCACTGCACCGCCGCCCTAGGGGGCAAAGAGGCTGGAAATGCAAGGGGCCCCAGCAGGAAAGGGGGCCCCAGAATGGACGATCATAACTTGATGAGGAAAGGTCGTGGTCTCGTGCGAAGAGATCCTCGCTGATGTGGGAAAGTGACACGGTGATGCCTTAGTCGGACTGATGATCCTCGGAGCCAGCTTCGGACCTCGCATCGCCTTTGTGTACCTTCTTGTGACGGCGAAGGTTGGAGACCACGGAGAAGTGACGGCCGCATCCTTCGACCTCGCATGCAAACGCTGTCCAATATTAGTGCCGTGGTCGATAGAGGGCTGGAGGAACAGGGGCAACGTACGCTTCTCGCCAGTGTGGCTGTACATGTGTGTTTGGAGTGATGAGGGGCGCGTGAAGCGCTTGTCGCACACCTTGCACTTGTGCTTCTTCTGCGTGCTCGAAGATACTTTGGAACTGAACTGACCCATCATGGACTGGGGAGCTGGCGGAGCTTGGTTCAGGAGGCCGTGAGGGCGGGGTAGGGTGCGAGACGTGACCGACTCAATGTCGGACGTTGAGTAGTCGCTGACGGAGTCTGCGCCATAGTAGTTTCCAAACCCGCCAGCCGAAGAGACGGACGAGCTAGTGGAGTGGGTGGAGGGGAAGCCGTAGGAGTCTTGCGAGCTCCTGTCGGTACGGGTGCCATAGATGGGTCGCGGTGTCTCCTGGCTCATGGCCAGCATGCCGTGGCCGGCATCGATGGCGTCTGCGAAACTCCTCCTCTCGTCGTGAATCCCTCTGTGGTCAAAGTCAATCAATGATGCTCTTTGCGGTCTGGACATCATTGTCGAATCGGGACCGCCGTATGGCGAGGCAGAGGGTACTGACGGGTGTGAGAATCTCCTGGAGTGGTCGTGCTCAGGAGCAAGGGCAAAGGCCGACCTCACGGGCGGTGCTGGGGCGTAACCCATAGACTCGTAGGGTGCGGGGGATGCTGTGTAAGAGGCGTTGACTGGAGACGCGGACGAGGCGTAGCTGCTGCTGGCGTCTGTGTAAGGGGCGGCGGTGGTTGCGTGCATCCGGCTGATGCTCATGACATCTTGAGGAAGTGTGAGTAGATCCGGTCTGGGCAGAGGGTCTGCCATGGGGAGGCTACCTGCTGAAGCTGCTGTGACGGGAATCTGGCCGTAGGAACCAAGGGACGACGCGGAGCTGCTGGTGCTGGCGCGCGCATGCGCCCTGTCCAGGGGACCGAGACCCGGGTGAAGGCCCTGGTGGCCATTGACGTACAGAGCATGGCTGTTGTTGGGCGGTGACGAAGAGGAACCCCAAGGATTGGAGAACTGGGGGGCAGCGGAGGAGGAAGCTTGGTAGGAAGACATCGGGTCCAAGTTCAAGGGGCCGAATCGTTGTTGTGATGAGTCCAGTGTCATAGTCATGATGATGGACGTCGTTCAGGTAAGGGAAGATGTTCTTCCAGGAACAGAAAGATTGGTGGGTAGATGGGTAGAGAGAGGTAGATAGGTATGCTGATCAAGAGAGCGCGTCCAATATGTTGGTGAGAGGCCAAGTACACAGATCAGATGGGATGGAAGATCTCCTTTCCAACGAGGTGTTGAAGATGGGGGATCAGCGAGGTATAAGTGTGAACCAGTGGACTACTGACACAGGCACTACACCAGTAGAAGCTGAGGCCAGTGGTTTGGGCGGATCCAGGAGAGAGAGAGAGAGAGAGAGGCCTGGGAAGCAAGTCGTCTGAAGCTTGTCGCACACTGGTCAGCGGGACATGGGGTGGTGGAGATCGCCCTTTGGTCCGTTCGCTGCCTTTTGGGGTGGGAGGGGCAAAGAGGAGTGGTGCAGAAGCTGTGACGGCTCCGACTCAGGGAGATCGACAGAGCAATGTCCCGTAGAAGAGAGGCCGAGGTGGCAGGGATTTGGGGCGATTAGGTAGGGTCGCAGGCTGGCTCAGATTGGAGACCAGGTTGCCAGGGGATGGAATGGTGGGTGTCAAGGTTGCTTTGCGCGCCTTGTTCCTCGAGTAAAACAACCTTTTTTGGGGGTCCTTTTTTTTTCTCAGTCGTCGTCTTCGACAGTCGTATGAATAGATGACGAGTGTGTTTGGACGTGGGTCGTTCAAGAAGTAGAGTAGGGAGGTAATAAATTGACCTGGTCAAGTCCGACGAGTTTGTGGGATTTTGTGGGCGTGCCACTACTGGGAACCAATATGTGATGGTCGATGGAGAGCAGCCCCGTTAGGATTTGATGTTGAGAGATGGCTTGTCGTTCAGCAAGGCTGGCTCACAGTCGTAGAGTCGCTGGAGGCGTACAACGTTGAGGTGGGGGAGGACGTGATACGCAAATGTGAGAATGGTACTTGAGGGTACAGTAGGAGTGGAAGCCGTTTGAGATGTCTAGTTTGGTTGTCAACGGCGTGATGATGATCATGAGGATCAGGAGTAAAAATTGGGTCGCTGGCGTGGAGGGAGGCGAGGGAACAAGGCTTTTACATTCGTGGTGGCCGGGCTTTTCTTTGAGGAGTGACGACTGACGACAGAGAGAAACCCAACTGCCAGAAGGGCGGGCGAATGTGCGCGGGAGAGACACATCGAAGCTATGATGTCGGTCTTCCTGTGGACGCTGAATGGGGTGGGTCGAGGGAAGGGGGTCGCCATAACAGCGAGGCCACTGACAGGGATAGGGGTTTGGGAAAAGAGGGGATAGGTGCAGTGGAGCGGAAGGAAGGGGAAGAGGGGGGGGGGGTGTGGTGGAGAGGCGAAAAGAGGAAGGGTCCAGCGACGGGGAGGAGAGGGGGGGGGGGATGTCTGTTTCTTTCGAGAGGCGCCCAGGGTCCGCAGGGACAGGGACATGAAGCTGGGGGTACCGGTACCGGTAGCAGCGTCGGTATTGGTGCTGGCGCTGGCGCTGGCGCTGGCTGGTGCTTGTTCATGCCTGCTCCTCCAGCTTGCTTGGTTGGGGCCGTAAAACAGTCATTTTTCGACCTGTCCGTGCTCGGTGCAGCCGCCCCAGTACGGGGACCGGCAAAATGGCTGACATTAGAGGGTGAGTGCCAATATCGTTTGCTGTTGATTCATGTCGGGAAGAACATGGCGTCTCGTAGTCTCCTCAATCCATTAAACCCATGCCCATCTTCGGGACCAGCGTCCTGCCAGTACCAAATAAGCCGCTGGATCGTGTTTCCCTGATCTCTGATGGAGACCAATATGCAGGGTCTGACGTTTCAACCGTGGCGGCTTGAGGCGCATCGCTGCCCTGACTCGGAGTGGCGTTGACGATGTGGTAAATGCGGGATAGCTCTGAGCTTAGACGGGCAAGGCAACTAGGGGCAACTTTGACTGACTGGCAGCAGGAATTTGATGTGTGTGAAGACGTATGGACAGCGCTGTTGGTCGCATGCCCGCCGCCCCGTAGGTCAAGTTGAGGGGCCACAGGACGGAATGGGGCAAAGCCACGGCCGGGTGTCTGTTTCCCGCCGCTGCAAGCCCCCCTCGTCAGCGACGCCTGTGCGCTTCTAACGAAGGTGAACGCACTCTGGAAAGAACCCCCTCCTCCGTCGAAGCATGCGCTGTCAAGAAATGTGATTCTTTCACCACTAGCAGGATTGGCATGTCTGCGTGGCATCGGCTGCATAGGAGCCCATCCACCTGCAACTGTCGCTGTTTCTTTCCCTCAATCCTAGCCACAGCTACGTAGTGGGCACGTTGGACACCCAGTGATAGCCTGGGGCTCTCGGGGGCCTGTCTCTCTGGTTCAGTGTGGCAGCGTGATGCGCGATGTGGTGGATTAAAAAAAAGTCGAGTGGGGGAATGGACAGGATGAATGTGGATGCGGATGACGGCAAGGATGGGAAAGAGAGTTCCACAGACGTACTGCCTGCCACTGAGCATCGAGAAAAGGTCAAGTGTGAGGATAGGGCTTTTGGCAGAAGAGTGGGGTCACGGGGGCGTTGATGCAGTAGAATGACGTCGGTGGGAGCAGGGGCGCACCTTCTTGAAACAAACGCCGCCCAGCATCCACACTGGGGCCTTCTCTCTCTCGCTCACTCACTGTTGCTGTCACTGTTCACGTAGGGGACCGACCTTCCCCCCCCCCCCCTCAATCGCCGCTGGGCCCCCCTTTGGCGTCCCCTCTGGCGTCGCATCCCCTCCGCTAGGTTCCATCGCTTTTGCCCGCCCGTTGTGTCATCAGCCAATTTCCAATGGCTGGCACGCATCCACTTGTTGTGTGCGACATGGGACGTGGATGTGGGGGCTCTAAAAGCCAGCCAGCCAGACGCTGATGCGGTGGACTGAACGGGCTCATCGTTCGGGGAAAAGGGAATGCGGTGTGATGCGGCAGTAGATGCCAGTTGAAAGCTTGTTCCCCGAACGGGGGGGCGGTGGCAGTGCTCGCATGTACTGAGTTGCTGTTACAGGCTGTTTTTGACCTGTCGACGAAAGAAAAACTGGCGCGCACCTCTCGTGTCGGGTCGGGGCATGACATCGGTGAACCGGGGTCCAACAGGCAGCCTTGCCTACGGTGGTCAACAGTGACATCAACAGTCCCAGCGCGAAGCGACGGCATCACTGCCATCCGTACCCTGGGTATCTTTCTCGCACGCCCACCACTCCACTTAGCTGCCTGCCCTTTACTCCCGATGTGTCTGATGGACAAGCATCGTGTTCTTGTACAGACTGCAGATTGGGGAAACAGGGAGCTCATTCCAAGCGCACCGCATAGGATGGCCGCCCCGCCAGTCCAGTAGCTCGACTGGGGGACAGTTTGGTGCGCCTGGGAACAATGACGCTGGGACATGAGGTAATCATGTCACCTCCGCAGCCTTGCCTGTTGCCTTGCTTCCTTCAATCGTGGTGGGTTTCGTCTGACGTAGTGAGCTGAACCGTTTTGACGTCGCGTCGCATCGCGTTGCATCGCACCGCATCTCGCCCAAAAGCCCATTGTGATCCTATTGACGTGCAAGCCCCTACATGAACGCCCAGTGGCAGTCCCGTCGAGGTATCCGAAATTGCTGCCTCATCATGTTGCATCGAACCCTTTGCGGCGGTATTTGTCAACGCATTGAGATGACTGTGAGGATCTAACATGGCCTTGTCTGCTTGATCGGGCCTGCCCCGTCCGGTCGCCGGAGCACCCTCGTCTGGGCGCCGACGGCGCTACTCCGAGCTCCGACGACAATTCGCTGGTCGCTGGTCGCTGGTCGCTGGTCGCTGGTCGCTGGTCGCTGGTACCATGTTAAGAGTACCAGCGAACCTGGATGTGCAGGGCAGGTCAGCCCGCTCTGGAGGCCGTCTTGTCTCGGTAGGTTCTGGTCCACGATGCGTAGACGATGCGTAATGGTAAAAATGGGTCCTGCAGAACCGAGGATATCATCCAACCTGCTTTCACGCCCAACGTCTCTCTTTCGCTCGGTTCCCTCTCTTTCTTTCTCTCTCTCTGTCTCTCTCGGTACTTGACTGAACCGATATCCGCCAAAAAGCAAGCGTCTTGGAGAGGACCCACCCTAGGCCTCTTCGTCGTCCTGTGAGATGATGGATGATGGGAGTGGCGCCGCACTAGCTGGCCTTACCGCTGCAGGCCCCGAACGGTGCGGCAGGGATACGTGATGTACCTGTACCGAGTCTACCCTGTGCTCTCCAGAGCCAGTTCAGCGCCAATGACACCATCTTTAGCGCACAACAGACGGGGCGGCGGAAGAGCACACGCGCGCCTTTGCCAACAACGCTTTTTTGCCGACCCGAAATGCCACCAATGGTGGCATGCTCATGCCTGCTCTGTTCTTCGTGGCGGCTGAATGCAAATGCGATGAAGATGAAGAAGGAAGGCGCGGGAAAAGGGCGCCCTGACAGAGCTTGACACCATACCCCCCTTCGCAAGACCACGGCCAGCAGCCATGTCTTAGAGTTGCGGACCGAATGTGCCATCAATATGCGCGAAAGTGCACGATACGACGCCGAGGCTTGGGAGTTGGGTCGGTCTTCTCATCGTCTTTGCCATCTACTTCGCAACCATGCATGGCGCAGACGTGCCACCGGGATACTTTTTTCAATGTCGGCCGTGCGCCCGCCATTTCCTCAAGTCCGGCTAGAACATATTCGTCCCTATTCCCCATCATCAAATCTTGGCAATGGCGGAAACAGTCCGGGTGCGCTGACATCCGGTCGTGTTGACGAAATCCCGCGCGACCTAGTGCTCTTAACATCCCTATGGAGGGGTTGACCGATGCACTCTTCTTGGTTGGCACAGAGGCCCCCGGATTGCCGTTGTGATTGTGGGGGGGGCGACCGTCAACATGGCCGTCAGTGTCTGTGACCGCCTTGTCAACACCCTCGTAGTGTATCCTCTCTGAACTATCCGGAAATGGCCGTACACAAGCGCAGTTTCGTAGGCGACACACAACCATCCATTCGAGATGGAACGGGTT